ACAAAGCCGCAAAGGTTTCACCTTGCCACTGCCGCTCCTTGCGAAGCCGGACATCACACCTCGCAGCCGGAAGAGACGAGCAAAACTCCGCTGTTTCTTCATTTGGCTTCTGTCGACCGGAGGGAGGAGACGCGAAGAAGAGGAGGTGCGATTTTGGGAGGTGTCGATCAGATTTGAGAAGTGAAGAAGGAAAAAACGATATTGGCTTCAATTTAGGGTTTTGAATCTTGATGCCGATTGAATGTTATAAATATATATGTGCTTCTTGCGATTATTAGGAATACAGCTAAGAAGAGTCAATGGTTACCATAATTATAAGATATTATTTGTGGAAACTAGTTATCAAATTACCTATTTACCATTATTTATTTATTTAATTATTTATTTTTATTTTAAAGTTTGATTGGTCCACATTGATGCATACAATAACACAATACTTAGTCAAAACACCTTAACATATATATATATATATATATATATATATATATATATATATATATATATATATAATGTTCAGATGAATCAAGTTTGAACACAATCATTAAACTCATAAATACATAAATATAATTAGAATACTATATGTAAAATTTATGCTCTGTGTAGTATTCTGTTTGGACTGTTTGGACTACTGGACATTTATGTTCATGGGATTACAAAAGATTATAAGAAAATACTACTATGAATATAATTACACATTGAATGTTTCATGAAAATATAACGTTAGTGATTCGTATAATATCAAATATGGTTAATATTGTATATAAAGATGTATACAAATACATATAACCAAAAATTCGTTCTCGGATAATATGATGTACAACATAAGAATAAGTTGTCGGTAATAGTTAAAATTATCAAAAATCGACATATGTTAGAACACAATGTGAAATTTATGTAAATATATGCTTCTGAGCATTCTCTATATTTGTATAAGTTATTGTAAAAATATAGACCGTTTTATTATATTATGAATTATAATCTAAAGCAAATGTATAACTGATGACAATAGGACGTTAAACTGATGATTTTGGGAAGAGCAGGGACTGAATATGAAAATTGAAGCGTCTTCTTCAATGGAACGGGAAGAACACGTTCGTTGACTAAAAAGTCAAAATCAGTTAACGAACATATTAGAAGCGCAACAAATTCCGATTTCGATGCTTCCAATTCTGAACTTTGACTTTATGTAAAATTCCGATTTCCAATTTCTGATTATTGGACTTTTGATTTGAGGATTTCCGATTGCAGAAACTTCTGAAGGCGAAGCTAAAATTCCGATTACAAGTTCACATTTGATTCTGATTCCGAAAGCTTTGAATTTCCGATTCCGATTCATTCTGAGGATCGGAATATGAACAGTACTTCCGATTGTGAATTCCGACAATATAACTGCAATGAATTCCGTTTGATGATTTATTCCAGTTATTCTGATTCCGAACTCCAATCTCCTGTTCAAGACCGATTTCCGTTTTTGATTTCCGATTGCATAGCTATGAGTCGATTTTGCAATTCCGTCTGAATCGATTTCGTAATTTTGAACACAAACTTAATCGATTTCTTCTGAATCGATTTCTGAACTCTTCCGATTATAGTTCAAAAAATCCGATTTTGACAAACTGCCGAAACTTCCGATTGCTAAATTCAACCATATTGACCATACTTCCGAAATTAATCCTTCAATTTCAATGAAATGACAGTTTTTACACAAAATTCCGAAAGTAATCCTTTTTTGTCTCTTGATTCCGAATTCAACCCTCATTTTGCACTAAATGACTGCTTCAGCCCACTATTTGCAGCAATGTGTTAGTTGTCAGCCCTTTTTGCAGGAAAAGTTATTTTTCAGCCCATCTTTCAACTTTTTAGCTTTTTGTTAATTCCAACCACTTAAAAATCAATAAAAATTGAATTGTTAAACAAAATTTCATCATTTTGACTAAAATTTCGCTAGATTTTATCCCATTTTCTCATCAATTGTTTTGACATAGGTTTATGAAACGTTTGACATCCATTTGAGATTCAAAGTTGAATTTGGTTTCTTGCACAGCTATTTCTTTGAAGAAAACCGATCATCTTCTGAGAACGATATCCGTTTTTTTGTTGGAAAACAAAAATTTCCTAAAAACTCATTGAACCAACCATAAACCTTTTTCCCTTTTTTCCAACTTCTAACATCTTCATTTGAACAAAAGTGAGAATTGAGTTTTCTTTGAACATGCTTGGCTTCAACTTTCTGAACATTTTCACAAGCTTGAGGGACTTGTACTTTTTGCATCCAAACCTTCTTCATTTTACTTTTCTTCTTCTTCTTCTTATTCTTCTTCTTCTCCAGATTTTGAGGTTTCAAAAATGATTTTCGGATCTGAACAACCTCATTCTATTTTAGAATCTGAACATCAACAGCCTTTGGTACACAAACTTTTGGAGTTTCGTAAATCTGAACATCTTGAATTATTGGCTTTCTATAAGGAACCATTCCTTCAAAAACATCATCAGAACATGAAAAATCTTCTGTTTGAGTTCTTATAGAACAAAACTTTTTCACTTTCACGATTTTAGGAGATTTGCTTTGCGATTCACTATTTGAAACACTAGATTCGGAATGTAACACTTCTGAAAAAACTTAAAACACTTGACCCCCCCCCCCCCTCAACAAGAACATCTGGAGTTGCCTTTTCTTCAGAAACATGAAGAACATTATGAAGTTTACCAAGAACACCAAGAACACCAAGAACATCAAGAACATCTTCCTTTTTCTTTTCAGCTATTTTCATCTCCAAAATCTGTTGTTTATTTTCTCCATCTAAATGTCTTTGGATAATACGAAATTCCTCTAATATTTTCTCATTCTTTTGTAAACTACACATATCAATACATGTGTATTCAAATATTTTCTTATCAACAAAAAGATTATACAACTCAGTAGTGTTCTTCAACGTAGATTGACCAAGAATATGCTACATAGTCGATTTGTTAACACCATAGATTGGTTTAGTAACCTTTAATTCAAGTTCTAAAATGGAGTCAAACAATAAATTCGTTTCATCCATTAGATCTTCAACAAGACACTGAACTTGAAGAGAGAGAAAGTAGATTTGATAAGATTTCTACAGAGAGAAAACGAATTTGAGATGATTTCTAGAGAGAAAACAGATCTGAGACGATTTTTCGAGAGAGAAAATAGATCTGAACACAAATATGAGAATAACACGAAATTCTTCTTCTATTTTACTTCCAAAATACGAATTAAGTACAAATCAGATGATAGAATGTGTAGAAGATAACATATCTGAATTGGGTTTTGCAATAATACGAGATATTTCACTTTTTCTTTTCAGAAAACTTACAAAACTTGAAGAACAAAGTGAGATTCATGAAAAAATTTCGCCATATCTAATCGATTCTTGCAATAATCGTTGAGATCTACAAGAACCCGCTCTAATACCACTTGTTGAGAATAACGACGAGATGACGAATGCAGAATCTGAAGAACAATAATGAATCAATCACCATAAAGTTGAAGTAATCTTGACAAAGATTTGGTGTATATCGATATGGATAGGAACGTACAAAGAAAACCCTTTTGTGGGAAAAAGCTTACATGAAAAGCTAACCTAATGATTATTTATAGGGAACATAAAATATTTACCAAAAATATAAAACCCTAAAAAGGCTTTCCTAAATAACCAAAAATGTCAAATCAGTTTCAATATCTCAAAATACCCAACACCTTGTTCAATGACAATGGGCACTAAGACTTCCAATTGTTCTGTTATGTGCGTGCAGTAAACACATTCATCAAAATTAGCTCTTCGAACCGGTCTATCCTTTGGATCCATATTGATAGGAAACAATCAAATAATAATCCTAAATCAACAATAGACAAACAAAACAAATCGTCAAAACCAATAATGAACAACAATAGTCAAACAAAACAACAAAACCTCAAAATCGACAAATAGCAACAATAGCCAAACGAACTAAACTTCGAACAATAACCAAAATGGTAAAAAGATGTTTTCTATCCAAAAAATCACAATGCAATAATAATTTCACGACAAGATAACGCCGAAACAATTCTCTAAACTTAAATTGTGGCGCGAAAATAAAATTGCGGCGAGATATCAACGAAAAGGGTAATTTTGCAGCGGCGCAACCCAAATCACGACGTGGAAAACGACGAAAACCTCAAAATCAAATGAAACCGGCAATAATCGGAACCCTCAAACATTCTATTCGGGAAATGCCATAACTTTATGTACAACTCACTTCCAGCAATCATAAACGACGAACCAAATACGACTGTGATACCATGTAAACTAATGAACAAAATACTAGTAGGGTTTCATTATTGAATAATAGACTATTTCAATTACAAAAGAAAGAGAAAGATAATATAAATAAAAAAACTAAAAAGATTAAACCTAACTACAGGGCTAAGGGGCAAAACACGGCCAAACCAAAAAAGGTTTAATAACTTTATTATGCTAACATTCTAAAACCATTAAATGTATGTTATAAAAGTATGATCTTCAAACTAAACGTTATATATATTGATGTCATTTAGTAGCAAGAGAGCAGGAGTACTCTTTTATTTGTTTATGTCTACATTTTATATGTATTTAAAATATTAACAAATACATAAAATTAAGTTAAACTGTGATGTTTTACAATATTCTAAGATTCTCTATTAATCATTTTCGTTATGTAGTCTTAATATCAACTTTAATAATGCCTTATTTGAAACAGTCCAAAATACTTAGAACGATAATATTATAAAACAAACACAAATTTTCTCTAAACATTGCCAGACAATATATATAAGACAACTATGGATTTTCAACACGAAAGTCAAAAAAATACAAATGTCAGAATCACCATGGGCTCCATCTCTCTCGTCATGAACAAGACTATTAATTTGTGCTTGACTTAAACCGACAATATAATATACGGTGGATTAACCATTGAAAATTTCTAATCATACTACACTGCTTTTTTTTTTTTTTTCCTTAATTATGTTGGCAGCTTGTGGCGATGGCAAGGAATCTGATCATCCCTCCACAGAGTCCTCACAAACATGCCGCAAGTTTGAATTTTCGGAGATTCTCTTAGCAACTGATAACTTTGATGAATCATTAGTAATTGGGAAGGGAGGTTTTGGAAAAGTTTTCAAAGGTAAGATTATTAATGGATCAAGCCTTGTGGTTGCAGCCATTAAACGGTTGGATTCCATGTCTACTCAAGGGGCAACAGAGTTTTGGGCGGAAGTTGAGATGCTTTCAAAGTTGCATCACTGTCACCTTGTTTCTTTGTTTGGTTATTGTAATTATGAAAAAGAGATGATTCTCATCTACGAATATATGCCAAATGGAACACTAGAAGACCACCTACATAAACTTGGTACCCCTCTTACTTGGCTTCAACGACTCAAGATCTGCATAGGTGCCGCCCGTGGGCTAGACTACCTCCACACCCGTACAGGGATTGAGTTTGGTGTTATACATCGCGATGTCAAGAGCTCAAATATTTTGTTACATGAAAGATGGGCAGCTAAAATTTCAGATTTTGGCTTGTCCAAAATAGGCCCAACGAATCAGATATCTACTACAGTCATCACAGGCGTTAAAGGAACTTTTGGGTACTTCGATCCAAATTATTTCACGACTGGAAAACTGACTAGGAAGTCTGATGTGTATGCTTTTGGGGTGGTATTGCTTGAAGTGTTGTGTCGGAAGCGTGCAGTGGATAGAAGTCTTGATGAGGACCATTGGGGTTTAGTGATGTGGGCTCAAGAGTCCATCAAAGAGGGAAATTTAAAGTATATAATTGATTCGGGTATAAGGGGTCAAATATCCACAAAATGCTTAAAGGAGTTTGTTCAAATTGCAGAGAAATGTTTGCTTCGAAATCCAAAACTACGCCCCACAATGGCTGAGATTGTGGTGGGTCTTAATTCTGTACTGGCCTCCGAAGAAAAGACCAGTAGTTTCTTGCCTCCTGACGACAGAAAAAAGCTTGATATCTTTCCCTTACCCTCCAACGGAGAGAACTCTGGTATTTCAATCTCTGTTGAATTATGTGTTTAGGTTCTTCAGGTTTGTGTGTATTCATCTTTGTATGCTATCTCCAAATGTCAAAAAAATAAAAGAGTGCCTATGGCTTTCATTAGTATATATGTTGATATCTAGGAATGGGATTGTTTGTAGATTAAGAAAGAATCTGAATAACTGTTCATGACTTTTAGAACTGTCCCTAGATGATGTCCCTTGGTTATGAGGACATAAAACTTTATAGTGAAAAAAAAAAGATGCTGTAAGAACTTCGTGCCTTTGACCTTCTTCCCATATCAACCCACACAAAAACATTATTAAAATATTAGACAAATGGACTTCTGAATTGCCTTGATGATATTTCCACTAATGCTTGTCTTGTCATTCGAAATGGCAGCTTTACTCACCGAATCTTTGATTTAAAATTTTGCTTTTTTCTAACCCCTACAATCGAGAAGCACACATCATATTATAGCATATAGTATGTCATCTATGGGCTATCTCGATTAGTTACCTGATTAAGAAAATTAAACGATCCTATTGCCACATATGTCCTTAGAATTAAGCCAAACTGCATTCATATACTTTAGTCTCAATGAGTATTCTCAATAACTTTCCTTGGTTTATAGTGTTTCTCTCAAGCTTTATACATTGATAATTCCCACAGTTTTGAGGGAGATGCGTGTGCTCTTGAGGCGTGGACCATGGTATTCTTTATTTATAAGAGAAAATTATTTTTTGTTGCAACGTCCAGGTAGAACGGTTGTCCCCCTCCCCTCCAAGGGAGAGAACTCTGGTATTTCAAGCTTCAGAGAACCCTCACACCCCTGCCGTCAGTTTGAATTTGCTGAAATTCTCTTAGCGACAAATAACTTTCACGAGTCATTATTAATAGGGGTAGGAGGGTTTGGAAAAGTTTACAAAGGTAACATTATCAATGGATCAAGTGCTGAAGTTGCTGCCATTAAACGGTTGAATACCATGTCTAGTGAAGGGGCATCAGTGTTTTGGGCGGAAGTTGAAACGCTTTCCAACTTGCGTCATTAGCACCTCGTGTCTTTGTTGGGTTATTGTAACTATGAAAAAGAGATGATCCTCATCTACAATTATTTGCCCAATGGAACGCTTGCACACCACCTCCATAAACTTGGTACCCCTCTTTCTTGGCTTCAGCGACTCAATATCTGCATAGGTGCTGCTCGTGGGTTAGACTACCTACACACTGGAATGGGGATCGACTTTGTTGTACATCGCAATGTCAATACCTCAACTATTTTGCTACATGAAAACTGGGAAGCTAAAATTTCCAGCATTGCGTTGTCCAAAATAGGTCCAGCCGATCAGTCATTGACTTATGTCGACACGCTTATTAAAGGAACTTTTGGGTATCTCGATCCAGATTATTACTCAACGGGAAGGTTGACACGGAAGTCTGATGTGTATTCTTTTGGGGTGGTACTGTTAGAAGTCCTCTGTAGGAAGCGTGCAATAAAGAAAAGTACTCTTGATGTGGAGGCATGGGGTTTAGCAACATGGGCACAACAATCTATCAAAAAAGGCAATTTAATGCATATAATTGATTTTGATATAAGAGACCACATATCCCCACATTGTTTGCAGGAGTTCATTCGACTTGTGGAAGGATGTTTGCACAGCAGTCCAAAGCAGCGTCCTACTATGGCTGAGGTTGTTGGCCTTCTTGTGCATATACGCACCATTCAGGAGAAAATGAATAGTTCGTTGCAGCCTGCACACAGAACAATTTTTGGTAGAATGTTTGATAATAAAAGAGCAGGACACTAATGAAAACACAAGAATACCATACGCTGGTATTTGAGGCCCCTTGGTGTACTTCTTATGCATTAAAGAGTATTGATGTTGATTTGTCTATGAATGTGCTAGTATGTTCTTAGCATGAAATTACTTGAATAATGGTAACAAAGATTTACCAACAACTTCATGCCTTTTTACCTTCATACCATCAGAAAACACACAAAAACCTTATTTTGTTAACAAACATACTTTTTATCTATTTCTCTTTACGAAAATGTTTTTTAATTGCATCAATGACATGTTCATGGATACTTTTTCTAGTTGCATCAGTTACATCATGTAAGTAGATCAGGATGGAAGTTAACCGGAGTCCATTATATATAAAAAAAACAAATAAAAATACAACATTTTGAAATTTTTGGATATTTTTTGTTTTTTTCAGCAAAAAAAATGTCAATGAGGGACTTTTCTTGTAAGAGTGGGTGCCATGGAGAAGGTTTGGTGCTAAAAGAAAATTTGTTTAAGGATATATATTTTGTAATATAATTGTTGTAATCCTCTTCTAAGTGGGGAGCTTGGACCCCACCTCTAACACGGTGGCTCCCCCACTACTTACATGTCCATCAATGCTTTTCTATAGTCGGTAAATATACTCTTCCTCTGCAATGTGGTGGTCTTCTTCTTGTATGATCATTTTAATGGAATTGATACGAACAAAGGTATATCTTATAACGGTTCGGCCAGACGTCAATACAAGGAATCAATATTGGTGATGGGATGTTTGAAAGCATATAAGAATTTCATTTTAAACAATTTTCAAATTGCTTTATGACTCAATTCAAGATTTTAAGCCTTGCAAGCACTTTTTCACTAAAGAAGAGGGTTGATCTAAGTCATCAAATCAAAGTCTACTGTAATTTATTTTGATACGAAATGTATACTTTTTAAACAAGCCTTTCTATAATGAAAAAAATAAGATTGACCTAATCTAGTACTTACGATAAATTTGTGGGATAATGACTTAAAAGGGTAATGTATTTTTCGATTTGTACACATTTAGTCACTGAGTTTTTTTCGTCAACATTTACCCCTTCAACTTGTTAAACTGTACACATTCAGTCCTTATGACCGATTACTCCAGATTAGCCGGGAAAAATGACTTAATAGGGTAATATATTTTTCATTTTGTACACATTTAGTCCTTAATATTTTTGTACATATTTAGTCGTTAACATTTTTTTGTTTCAAAATAAGTCCTTTTTTTGTACTCAGTCAGTACTTATGATTGATTTCTTTAGGTTTTTCTCACAACATCTTACGTGGGACAATCATTGATGAGGTGTTTGAGGTTGTTGATGCTTAAGTCCAACGCGATCTCGACTGCTTGGTTGCGTAGGTCTTGTGGTTTGGCTTAGGTATTGTATTCTGAAACGTCGTAACTTCTTCATATGGTATCAAATTTTAACGATCTTTATATCCACGTGTTCATTTTTCATTAAGATTACTCCTGTTAAAATGTAATATATTTTTTACTTACGGTTTTATAAAAAAAACATCCATACATACATTCATAAAAAACGTATGGACATGAGCAGACACAAGAATACATAGTAGGTGTTGCCGAGATGAAATAGATGTTGCTGATACATGAAAAATAAGTATAAACGAAAAAAAAAATCGAAATTTTTTCCATTGAGGATAGAAAAAATAGGTGTTGTTGTGCAACACCGGGACCGGGCTAAATCTGGCCATGCGTATGGATATAAGAATTGTAAGTAAAAATATATTATTATTTTAATGGGAGTAATCTAAATGAAAGTTGTGGTAGACTAAAATACGAACGCATGTATATAAAGATCGTTCGCATGGATATAAAGATTGTTAAAATCCGAGATCGTATGAAGAAGTTATGACGTTCAGAATACATGACCTAAACAACCAAGTAGTCGAGATCGCGATGGACATAAGCATCAAAATGCCCAAACACCTCATTAATGAATTTTCCACGTAAGATTTCGTGAGAAAAATATAAAGAAATCATTAATAAGTAATTAATAAGTACAAAAAACAAAAATGACTTATTTTGCAATATATATATATATATATATATATATATATATATATATATATATATATATTAAGGACTAAATGTGTACAAAAATATTAAGTACTAAATGTGTACAAAGTGAGAAATATATTACCCTATTAAGTCATTTTTACCGGCTAATAACCTGGAATAGTCGGTCATAAGGACTGAATGTGTACAATTTAACAAGATGAAGGGGTAAATGTGGACGAAAAAATTCAGTGACCAAATGTGTACAAATCAAAAAATACATTACCCTTTTAAGTCATTATCCCTAAATTTGTATGACTCAATTTTTTTAAAACCTCCAATCATATATTAAAAAGAGAAACTCTAGCAAGGAGGTAGAGAAAAAGCAAAAACATTAAAAATTGTTTAATAGATGTTGCATCCGGTCAAACCATTAATAGTTGACTAGTAAATCTACTATGAACCCAAAGAAAAAAAAAACTCCCTAATAGAGTAAAAAAAAGATATATTTTCGCATCTTACCATCTCCAAACACTTTGTTATTACAAAGCCCCCGTATGTACCATAATTAATTAACTATAGCCGGCTCAATAGCATTCTTCTTATTTGTGCCACACTTGAACCCACCTGAATACGTTCGTAACAAGGGTAGCCTGTGATACCCCTCAAAATATTGTAGAATCCGTTTCACTTCAGACTACTGATTTCCGGTCAGTGCATGCATGAAGTGACATAATTTGTTCACAACAAAGGTGATGTCTAGTATGGAAAGAATGACATACTGAAGGGCTCCAACAATTTGACGATATGGTGCGGGATCGGAGAGTAATAGGTTGTCAGCAAGACTTAGTGGTTGATAGGTGCTCATGGAAGAAGCCTTTCGTTTGTAGTTAGTCATACTAGATTTATGCAACAATTTATAGGATGTACTTTCGTTGAGAAAACGAAATGCTCTTGCCAATGGGAACTATTTCAATGCCATTGAAGTAAGTGAGATGTCAAGATCTTTGACTGCAAATGATGTACTGAGCTTATGGATAACTTGACGAATAGCTATAGAGTTGTTGCTAGTGACGATCAAATCATCAACATAAGACAAAACATAAAGAAGAGTGCCCCGATCTTGACGAATAAAGAGCAAAGGATCAGTTTTAGATCCCCTAAAGCTAAGTTGTTATAAGGTTCTGGATAACCGACCATGCTCTTGGCGCTTGTTTGAGACCATAAAGAGACTTGTGGAGCTTGCATACATGAGCATGCATATCGGGATCAACAAAACCCTATGGTTGACGGATATACACAGATTCGTTCAGGTTAACATGTAGGAAAAGCGTTTTAAATATCCGATTGCCGGAGAGACCACCCGTTGGTGACGGAACGTGAAAGAATCAACGAATGGTGGTTGTCTTGAAAACTAGACTAAAAGTCTCGTGACAATCAATAATCGTCTGTGGTTTAAAACCCTTGGCTAGAAGACGGGCCTTGTAGTGAGTGATATTGCCATATTGGTCATGTTTTACTTGGTATATCCACTTCTAATCAATGATATTAGCATTTTTGACTGGTGGTCAAAAATGAACTCTTCAACCATGGCAAGACCCCATTTAGGAGATTATTGGAGGTTATAGAGGTAGTAGGTTCAAGGATTGGGTTAGAGGATGACACCGAGTGAAAGGCGCTGAAGAATGGGCTTGGGATGGCCGAAGTTTAGGTGACCGAGAACGATGACGTGGAGGTGGAGGTGAGGGTGGCGAGGTTGAGTCGGTAGGAGCTCTCGGTGAGGTTGGAGGAATATTTTGGGGTGAGGAAGATGGAGTCGAGATGGTTTGGTGGGGAATTGGGTGGTATAGGATGGTCGGGTGAAGGTGGGAAGGTAGTTGGTGTTGGGTAGGTGGAGGTATATGGATTGGTGTTGTTAGTAGTGTATAGGTTAGAGGAAGGTTCGAAGGGAAAAATATCTTCTTTGAACCACACATGGTGAGCGATGTAGACTCGTTCGATAGCTAGATCCAAGCATCGGTATCCATGGTGAGTTGCACTATAACCCAAAAAGACACACGATGTGGATCTAAAATCCATTTTGTGATGATTGTAGGGCCTTAGATGTGGGAAACATTGAAATAGGCATGCAGAAAATTGTAATCCGATTTTTCTTTTTTAAGTTGATCTCAAATGGAGATTTGTTGGAGGATATACGAGATGTCATGTGATTGATAAGATACACAGTTGTTCCAAACGCAAACTGCCAAAATATTTATGGAACATGAGAGTGAGCAAGGAGGGTATGGCCAGTTTCAACAACATGTTGATGTCAATGTTCAACAATACCATTTTGTTCACCTGTATGTGGACTAGAACATCGATGTATGATTCCAAGAAACGAATAGAAAGGGGAAAGATTGTGAAGACCCCTCCCCTCCCCCCAATCAGTTTGGATATCTTTGAGTATAGTTTCAAATTGTTGTTCAACCATCATGACAAAAGTTCTTAATGTGGAATACACATCTGTTTTTTTAGCTAATGGAAAAATCAACATGTAGTGGGAATGGTGATTGACACAAAGCAGGAAAAACTGAAATCCATCAAAAGATAGTTGTGGTGCAGTCCCCAAACATCATAGTAAACTAAATCCAAAATATTATTTATATGAGAATTTGAATCATGTAAAGGTAGTTTGGAAGATTTTCCCATATGACACGAACTACAAAAAGATTGTTTTGTGGAAACCGGTAAAGAACAATTAGTAACAATAGAATTAAAGAATCATTGATGAGAGTGTCCAGTCTCTGATGCCACACAAATGGAAGATGCTCAAATGTTTAACAGGTTGGGTGTGACATGGTTGTTTTCTCCCATATAATGAAACCAAGATACAGCCGAGGTGGAGCCAATGTCCGATAAGGTTATAAAGTTTGCTTATGAGGGGGTAGAGCGGTTGGTTTACTGATTTGGACATTGTGAAAGAATGTGTCTGATACACATCGATTATAGTAGGCATATACTGTATTTTGAGTGGAATCCATGAAATTTATGAACGGTTGTTGTTATTAGGTATATGGTTATCATCACAACCACAGTTTGAGTACCCGTGGGAGTTGCTGCGATTGGTGTGTCGATTGCCACAAAAGTTGTTTGAGGGGCGAGATATATAGAAGGCTTGAGGTTGTTATTGATTAGGGGAGATGTTTAAATGAAGACCGAGTTATGAAGCAAGTTTTTGAAGAGAGGCTAGTTGCGATTTAATGGTGTTTGGTTGGAGGGAGGATGTGTTGGTTGAATCCATTAAGGCCTAAGGTGTTGCAATCTGTGTATGGTTGTGTTTGTTGATCATGAAATCGTGATCACTAAGGAGACAATAAAGCTCATTAAAACCAATGGGAGGAGAACGAGAAAGAAGGTTGGTGTAACGCCCGGTTCCTGGTATGTATTTAATTCATAAATTATTCATTTTTTATAGAAACTCTATGAGTTGGATGCCCCAAACTCGTCGAGTAGAGATGGATTGGGACGCGGGATAAGAAGTCTACTCGACGAGTTGAGAAGCCTCAACTCGACGAGTAGGACTGGCAGAATGAAACCCTAATTTTCAGGGTTTTGCCCCCTTTTTCAAGACCTTTACCTCCTTGAGCTGGCCTCATTTACAGCCTCCATTGTCCCAAACCCTAGCCACAAAACCCTAATTTACTTTTGAGAGTTTTGAGCCATGTTTGTCCATTCTTTGTGATTTTGAAGAAGGAGATACTTGAAGAAGGAGCAAGGAAGTATAGGAAAAGAGTTGATCCAGAAGTTGAGCTTCATTTATGGTTCATCTAAGGTCAAAGCTCCTATCTTGCTTAGACCTAGTTTTAGGTTATTTTCTTCATGTTTTGGTCCAAGAATGTGGATTTTTAGGATGTGGAAGTCCTATGTGGGCAAACCCTTAAGATCTAAGGTCTTTAAGGGACTTCATGATATAAAGGTGCCAACTTTATGGCCATGGAAGCCCCTTGCAACTTGTAGACCATCTTTTTGGTATGCAAGTAAAGATAGGGACTTTACGTGACCAAACTGTCCCTAGAGTCCAGATCTATGACCCTATGGCTCATCTTGAAGTTTTGATAATTTTTGAAGTTGGAACTAAGCCATTTTGAGCTAGGGTTAGGGCTCATTTCTTCTAGAATGGGTATTAATGGGTAAAGTCGGAAACTTTACCCTCCTAGAGGTGCATTCGGCCCAAAACTGGAATATGGGGCTTAGATTCGAAGAATAATGGCTTGTTACATTAAGAAAGGTTAATAGGCTGAAGAAATCGACGAGTTCATAGAGGAACTCGACGAGTTGGGTCGGAATGTCCCGGTCCTGTAAAAGGAAGGACTCGACGAGTTCAAGGACGAACTCGACGAGTTCAAGGACGGACTCGACGGGCTGGTTTGGAAAGTCCCGATTCTGTTGATAGGAGGAACTCAACAAGTTGTGAAAGAACTCAACGAGTTGGATCGCGATTTCAAGGTTTTATGATTTATGGAACTCGACGAGAAGATGGACCAACTCGGCGAGTTGAGTAAACCCAGAAGGTTGACTTTGACCAGAAGGTTGACTTTGACCAGAGTGTTGACTTTGACTTTGACCTTGATCAAAGTGGACCCTTAAGGGGTCATGAGTATGAAAGGGTAATTAAGGAAATCTTTTATGTATAGGAGCTTGAGTTGGGGTTGATTGTGGGAGCCGAGGATTTCAGCTACCTTCCGATATTCGAGGTGAGTTACCTTCCCAGTAGCAGTGGGTCTACGACACTAAGGCCGGACCACTAGTAGTTATTAGTTAGATGATTGTCTAGTACGCCACTATATGTTACGATTATGTGTCAGTATGCTATATTATTATGTGATAGTGGTAGGGGTGACATAGACCCCGTAGCTGGTTGGAATAAACCGAAGGGTAGGTCGAACACCCAGATATTCCTGACAGGGTAGGTCGGGAACCCAGATATGCCTGAGAATATGATTATGTTATGTGATTATGTGATAGCGGTAGGAGGGTGAAATAGACCTCGTAACCGGTTGAAATAAACCGGAGGGTAGGTCGGACACCCAGATATGCCGGACACGGTGGGTTGGCATGGCACCCAAATATGTCTGGCAGTATATGATTATGTGGTATGATGGGGAACACACTAAGCTTCGTGCTTACAGTTTCATTTTTGGTTTTAGGTACTTCTTCTTCGCGAGGAAAGGAGCTGGCATGATTGCAGCGCATCACACCATGATTTCCGCACATAAGATTCTTGGGAGTTATACTCTGATGTTGTTTATCGAGACATGTTTTGACTATTGATACATTGGTTTATTATGAGTTGATACTATGAATGTTTTCAGACAAATGATTTTATAATTATTAAATTAAAAATGAAATTTTTGGTCGTAAATTTTGGAATGTTACAGTTGGATTTCAGACCATTATATTCATCTCTAAGCCCAAGCCCTGATATGACTACTAGCATGACAAAATCTTTGTCTTTGACATTTTCTCCAATGTTGTCCACGGAAGTAGTGTATTCCTTTGCACGGGTAAGATAGGGTATGGAAGACTCGTCGCCTTTTATCTCAATCTTGAGAAGTTGACTTTTGAACGGGTACTCTCTTAATGTGTACTCTCTTGAGAAGAGAGGTTAAACATATACACATAGAGAGTAACAGAGAGGAACCAAGAGAGAGAGGGAGGTAGGTAAAGTACCAATATTAAGGCAAACTAGAAAAAAACAAAAAAAAAAAAACAAATTCTAAATGTATAAAAGATATTTCAAGTATGAACGAGACCAAACGCTCTAAGTACCAATATTATAGTTTATTATTATTATTATTATTATTATTATTATTATTGGACAAGACTATCAATTTTGGAATTTTCTCTTTATTTAAATTATGAAAAAAAAGGTAAAAAGGTAAAAATGTTTCAGAATATTGATTTAAATAAAAGTTGACTGTCCTGGTCAAAGAAACTCGCCAGCCACCCCATGTTCCCTTGAGGCCTTGACGACCTTTGTCGCTGTTCCGGCGAATACTCGCCAGACGCCGACCCCATGGGGTTCGATGATAGTCCTCAAGTTTTATTAAACAACTGGACTTTTCCTCTTCTCCGATGAAGAATTTAGAGACAGAAATCAAAAGCACAATCCGAAGCACAAATGCATTATCAATATATGGGAAGAAAGGAGGAAAGGGAGAAGCCATTTACAACAACACATTGACGATTTTGTTTGGATTCTTCACTCTGATTTGGTATTACCTCTCTTCTCTGTGCCTCTGTTCCTCTTTTTATACGATTTTTGACATCTCACCTTTTGATATTCTAAATTTTTATAAACCTGAACAACCGTCTATCTGATTGCTACTCTTCTCGGCATATTTAACTTCATCATCAAACGCTTGTTTCTACCCTTCAAAATCCACCACATAACTGATTTCAATAAACGCCACAAACAGTTATTTATTTGATTATCATTCTCATAACTCCATGGGAAAGGAAAGTTCTAGTCACCCTTTACGTTTATAGATCCATTAGGGCAACACTTTTGTAAAATAAATATCACTGGTGGAAAGATGCAAGACAGCAATTCAGAGGGAAGATCCGATTTTGGTAGGTGCATCCATTGTTGAGGGGGCAAAGGTAGAAAAAACAGAATGTATTGGAATTTATAATATATATGATGGATAAAACTTAACCTCTTATTATTAAATTATGTGTGGTTATTAGGAGCCACATTCCAATGCCATGCAAATAAAAATCGCTAGCTTACGGGTTTTTTAGGTCCCCAATATGTATCATATTTATCATTTCCTAAGAAAAAACAAACATTTTACTCTTTGACACTTTACAATGTAGATGATTCTTTGTTGACTATTTTTGGTTATGAAAGTTTCAAGTGTGTTGAAGTTACTTATCTTTCATAATGTTTTACTCTGTCAAGTTGAAACAATCCCAAAATAGCTTGAAACTTTCTTTAAACCTTACCATACGAAATGTAGAGACCAACTACGAATTTTACACTATAAAAGTCAAATCAATCCATCACAAATGTCAGACACCCTGGGGTCCATCTCTCTTTCCAGGTAAGAAGATTATCATTTTCTAAGTTGACAAATTGACTATAAAGTATGAACCATTGCAAATTCTTATTCAATTTCTACTTTCTTTTCTTCTTCATCAATAATCATGTTGACTGCTAATAGCAATGGCAAGGAATCACAACCCTCTACAGAGTGCTCACAAGCATGCCGTAAGTTCAAATTTCCTGAGATTCTCTTAGCAACCGCTAACTTTGACGAATCATTAGTAATTGGGAAGGGGGGTTTTGGAAAAGTTTACAAAGGTAACATTATCAATGGATCAAGTGTTTCCATTGCTGCCATTAAACGGTTGGATTCCATGTCGACTCAAGGGGCAACCGAGTTCTGGGCAGAAGTGGAGATGCTTTCAAAGTTGCGTCATTGTCATCTTGTGTCTTTGTTTGGTTATTGTAATCATGAAAATGAAATGATCCTCGTATATGAATATATGCCAAATGGAACACTCGAAGATCATCTCCATAAACTTGGTACCCCTCTTTCTTGGCTTCAACGACTCAAGATCTGCATAAGTGCAGCTCGTGGGTTAGACTATCTCCACACTGGCACAGGGATTGATGTCGGGGTTATACATCGTGATATCAAAAGCTCAAATATATTGTTACATGAAAGTTGGGCAGCTAAAATTTCAGACTTCGGGTTGTCTAGAATAGGCCCAACTAATCAGCCATCTACTTTTGTCAATACACTTGTGAAAGGTACTTTTGGATATTTGGATCCAAATTATTTCACAACTGGAAGGCTGACTAGGAAGTCTGATGTGTACGCTTTTGGGGTGGTTTTGTTGGAAGTGTTATGTCGAAAACGTGCAGTTGATAGAAGTCTTGATGAGGAGCAATGGGGTTTAGTGACATGGGCTCAAGGTTCTATAAAAGAAGGCAGTTTAAAGCACATAGTTGATTCTGAAATAAGGGGTCAAATATCCACAAAACGTTTGAAGGAGTTTGTTCGAATTGTAGAGAGATGTTTGCTTAGCAATCCAAAGCAGCGCCCTACAATGGCTGAGGTTGTGGTCAGTCTCGATTCTCTAATGACCTTACAAGAGAAAACCAATACATCTTCGCAGGGTGTGGGAAAAACAATATGTGGAAAAATGCTTGATATGTTTCCCTCTACCTTGGATGGAGAGAACTCGGGTACTTAATTCGACCTTCCATTTAATTGTGTATATCGATTCTTTAAATATGTCTAGGTTCATCTTTGCATATATTAGCAGAACATTAATGAAAATATAAGAATGTCATCTTTCAACCTCAAAATTCGAAACATTACTTACGCGTTAAAGAATATTGATGTTGATTTGTGTACAAATGTGATAAAATTTGTAGTTTAAGTACTATGCTGAATAATTTTACAAACAGACTTTTTTGTCTTTTCTCTTCATCCAACTGTTTTCATATTCCATCCATGATGTACACCAATTCTTTTCTTGTCGTTTCATATGACACTGTTTGACCTCTTTATATGTTCAACCTAACTCATTCAAAGTCCTTTAAATACATGTACACTTCCTTTGTGACAGTGGACCTGTGCAATTGTACATTTATGTTGATTTCAGTGAAATGAGTACGAATAAAATTGCATCGTATAACAGTTAATATAATGATTATATAATCTTTTTGTATTCATCTATTTCAGTCCCCGGTGATTCAAAGGTATCAGATAACTACAAGGCCAAGAATAGACTTGCAGGTGATACTTTAGGGGCTAACAAAATTGATTGCACCAGCGCTATTCCAAATCTGAAAGTATTTAAATTTTCTGATTTGAAAAAGGCTACAAGAAACTTTAGTCAAGATTTGGGTATGGATGATTTTGGAGAGGTGTTCTTAGGTTGGATTGACAAGAAAACATTCACACCTTCAACACAAAGTACTGGCGTTGCTGTTGCTGTTAAAAGGTCAAAGGATCTTCAACAATGGCAGGTAAGTATCAATAAATTTACCTAAACTTACATCTATAGTTAAGAAAAAGAACTTTAGATTTCCATTGGACTCTTAAGTCTTTGTTCTCCTTTCACATTCAATTAATATTCAGTATGTTTGAGGTTTCTGCCGTACGGTTTCTCATTCAAAATATTAAATGCCCAAACTACAGATCTGGTATTGTTCTTCTTTTCTTTTTTTAGGGGTGAGGTAAAATCAGAAATTTCAACAAAAGTTAGGATTCACTTTAAGAAATGAAGTTTAAGAAAGTACTTGTTTAGAACAAGCCATGATGAAGTTTCATGGAAAGTTACCTCCAAAGTCTCTATGTTATGACTAATAGCGAACATAGGATCTGAATCTCTCTCTTGAATTGATTAACAATGCCCTATTTATATAGGGATAAATACAAACGGATCCCCAAATACAGTAGGGGTATAATAGGAAATAATACCATAAAATATTGACAACAATACAATATTGAAATATATAATATCCTAAAATATAATCGGCTAATATTCCCCCGCAGTTTGAGCCAGGGAAGGACAAACGCTCAAACTGGATCGAAACTGCTGATATAAGAAACGTGGTAGCCCTTTTGTGAAGATGTCTGCATACTGCAAGGAGGCCGGAATGTGAAGAACTCGAACATGGCCAAGACGAACCTTTTCTCGCACAAAGTGTATGTCTATCTCCACATGTTTGGTGCGCTGGTGTTGGACTGGATTCTGAGACAGGTAGACAGCGGATACGTTATCGCAATAAACAACCGTAGCCTTGTGAAGGGGAACACAAAGCTCGAGAAGGAGATTTCGTAACCAAGTAGTCTCAGACACTGCATTAGCAACACCACGATATTCGACCTCGGCACTAGAACGAGAGATACTGGGCTGGCACTTTGAAGACCAGGAAATAAGATTATTGCCAAGAAATACACAGTATCCAGAAGTAGATCGTCGCGAGTCGGGACATCCGCCCCAGTCAGCATCGGAGTAGGCAGTGAGCGAGTGGGATGAAGATGCAACTATCTGTAGACCATAGTCAATCGTACCCTGTAAATAATGAAAAATCTTCTTCATGAACTGAAAATGTGGCTCACGTGGGGCATGCATGAAGAGGCAAACTTGTTGAACAGCATATGCAATGTCTGGTCGAGTAAAGGTCAGATACTGGAGGGCACCGGCAAGAGTGCGGTAGAGAGTGCCATCAACAAGAGGTTCACCATCAGTAGCACTAAGTTTGGTGGACGTATCCACTGGTGTAGCGCATGGTTTACAAGAGGCCATAGCAGCCCATTGAAGGATATCACGAGTATAAGAGGCTTGTGACAGAAAAAGACCATATTCATTGCGATTAGCCGTGATACCCAGAAAATGGTGAAGCGGACCTAGATCAGTCATAGCAAATTCCTGAGACAAAGAGGTGATAATGCTGCGGAGAACAGCAGGGTCAGAAGCAGTCAATATTATATCATCCACATATAGTAATAAGTAAGCACGATGGCGACCATTTTGATAAATAAATAACGATGAATCACAAATACTACTTCTGAAACCCCAAGATGTGATAAATGAAGCAAAACGAGTATACCATGCACGCGGGGCTTGCTTAAGCCCATACAAAGATTTCCGTAAATAACAAACATGGGATGGAGACCGGGCATCAACAAATCCTGGGGGCTGGTGCATGAAGACAGTCTCATGGAGATCGCCATGGAGAAATGCGTTTTTGACGTCTAACTGATGTATCGACCATGCTTGCGAGACTGCAAGACTGAGAACAGTTCGTATAGTAGCTGGTTTCACAACCGGACTAAATGTCTCGAGGCAGTCAATACCCACTGTTTGTGATTTCCCATTAACCACAAGGCGTGCTTTATAGCGGTCAAGCGATCCATCCGCTTTAAACTTGTGGCGAAACAACCACATACACCGAATAACTGGGCTGTCGGTCGGTCGGGGAACGAGTTCCCATGTTTTATTTACCTGTAAAGCTCGAAATTCATCTTCCATGGCTTGCAACCAATTAGGGTCAGACATGGCGGCAGAAATTGACTTAGGAATTGGAGAGATGGGTGGAGTAGATGAGGTATGAAGGTTTAAACGGATGATCGGTTTGGTAACACCTGCTCGTGCACGAGTAGTCATAGGATGAGTAGGAGGAGGGGGCGGGGTTGAGGTGAGGTGGATGGAGGTGGGTTGGATGGGGGGAAGGTGTTTCGGAAGGGAGAGAGCTTGATTGAGCAGGTGGATGGGTGGTGGTTGGTTTTGAGCGACGTGAGTAGGTCAAGATAGGTGGTTGAGGGGTGGATGGGGTATGGGATGGTGTTGTTGATGGTTGAGTAGGGGTAGTAGATGGTGTAGGAGTGGAGTATGGAAAAACATGAAGAGGTTGGTCATCGAAAAGCTCGAAGGAGGTGGAAGGGGAAGGGCTATTGGCAAATGGGAAAGATGTTTCGTCAAATGTAACATGACGGGACAGATAAACTTTGCCCGTGGAAGGATCAAAGCACCAATAACCCCGAAAGTTTTCCGGATATCCAAGAAAAACACATTTAACGGATCGTGGTTGGAGTTTGTTAGATTGAGTGGCAGAGATGTTGGGATAGCAAGTGCACCCGAAGGTGCGAAGATGATCATATGATGGTTGGCGACCGTAAAGAGAGAAGACAGGAGTAGAAAAGTTGAGGCGTTTGGTTGGGAGGATGTTATGTAGGTATGCAGCGGTGTGAAGAGCTTCAACCCAAAAGGATTGGGGAAGAGAGGCGTGAGTGAGAAGGGTCCAGATAATGTCATTGAGGCGACGAATCATCCGTTCGGCTCGTCCGTTTTGTTGGGATGTTTGAGGGCAAGAGAAACGAAAGACAAGACCATGAGTTTGGGCAAAAGACTTAAATTCATTATTGTCAAATTCACCACCGAGATCGCATTGGAAAGACTTAATGGTTTGGTTAAATTGAGTTTGGATGAGTTTATGAAATTTTTTAAAATTGAGAAAGGTGTCAGATTTGTATTTGAGAGGGTAGACCCATACATAATGAGTGAAGTTATCGATGAGGACCATATAATATTTGTAGCCAGATTTGCTTAAGACTGGAGATGTCCAAAGATCACAATGTATAATATCAAAGGGTGCATAAGTAATAGATTGTGAATCATAAAAAGGCAACCGAGTATGTTTAGATAGTTGGCAAGCATAGCATAAAGTTGAAGTTGTAGGTTTATTACAAGAAATTGAAAATGTAGAACGAAGTAAATCTAAAACAGGAGCGCCAGGATGACCCAAGCGAGCATGCCAGCGATCGTGAGAGGATGCAAGGAGAGCAGATGGATTGGATGGTGTCGTGAAAGGGTAAAGATCGCCCGTGCTATCATGCCGAGAAAGAAGAGCTCCAGTCTTGAGGTCATTTATAGAAAAACCAGATGGGTCAAATTCAACAGAAGCTTGATTATCGATAGTGAATTTACGAACAGATAAAAGGTTTTTAATAATGGAGGGAGTAAACAAAATATTTTTCAAGGCATATGAATGAGATTGGGTGGTGTAAGAAGAATGTCCAGACCCATGAATTGGAATACTAGAACCATTTCCAACAAAAATCGAGGTTACAGGAGAAGTAGTCATGGGACTTGAGATCTTACCCTGGTCAGATGTGAGATGGGTCGAAGCGCCTGAGTCCATGTACCAAGACTGATCATTGGAGTTAAGATGGACTTGTTGCATTGTTTGTGCCAAATCTGATGGATTATAGTCAGAATAACCAGCAAATTGGGGATTGGGAGCAGCAATCGGAACAGTTGGTCGTATTGGAGGTGGTGCGTTGGGCCTCTGTTGTGATGTTGGATCGACTCTAAGGCTGGGTCTGAATGTGTGATTAGCCCAATGGCTTGCAGGCTGGGTCGGACCATGTGAGGGGTATGGAGATGGCGGTGGATTCCATGGTTGTGAGTTGTTCCAATGTTGTTGACGCCATTGATTTACTTGATTCCAATTTGGTTGGCCTCGACCTCCACGACCCCGGAAACTTCTGCCACGACCACGACCAGGTGGACCTCGACCGCGGCTGCCTGCACCTCTACCTCAGTAGCTGTTGAAGGTGTGAGTCTGACCATGTTGACCGGGTGTAGAGTTTTGAGATGATCGGTCACCAGAAGAAGCAGCGAGGACTGTGTGAGTTTGATTTTGTCGAGCTATTTGTCGGTGTTGTTCCAGTTGTAGCATGCTACGAGCTGTCTCCCATGATGGAGAGCTTTGATTGATATACGCCCCGACGACATCAAATTCTGGTGGTAACCCACGAACCATCTGCAAAACAAGTCTTGCTTCAGTGACAGGATTGTCAACATCTTCCGGTTGGTCTGCTAGATCTTTTAATTTTTGACAGTAGGCTTCCATCGATGAACAGGCAGCCAAGGTGAGATTAGAAAATTCTTGTTCAAGGGCAGCAGCACGTGATCCCTTATTGTTGAGAAAGTTTGTTTTGAGTTTGTTCCATGCATCTTGAGCAGTAGTGTTGTTTTCCAGAATTCGAACCATGAGTTCGTCGGACAACGTACTGTAAATCCATTGCAAGACAAGGGCATCAATTTCCATCCATTGAAGATAAGTGGGATCGGTTTCCTTTGGTGCTAGGGTGCCATCGATATGATCAAGAACTTTGTAAGCTTTGGCATGAAGACGGAACAGTTTTGTCCATGAAGAGTACGTGACCTTGACACCATCCAGAGTTCGTATCTTGGTTTGGATGTTCGTTACAGTGTATGCAGGATGTAACGTTGTGGCCTTTACTTCACTCGATCCAGCATCATCTTTGGCCATGACGATGACAGAGAAGAGCTCTTGATAGTTAACAGTGAAACAGATGAGA